ATCTCCTCGGTCAAGTTCTCCCCCTGCGGTCGGTTTTTGGCCTCGGCCTGTGCGTCGCCTGTGCCTTGCGCCCTCGCTCGGTCTTTCTCTCTCTCCCCCTCCCCCCCCCCCCTGCTCCCCATCTCCCTGACCCGCGCCCATGCCCACGCCCCCCAGCCGCCGACAAGACCATCAAGCTTTGGGACGTCGACACCGGGGCCCTGCTGGCCACGCTGGACTCGCACACCGGCGGCATCTCCGACATCGCCTGGTCCTCGGATTCCACCCTTCTGGCTTCGGCCTCCGATGACAAGACCGTCCGCATTTGGGACGTCGAGCGCGTGCGTCGGCGCATTCCCCCCACTCCCGCTCCTCGCCTGCCCCTGCCTCTGACCCCCCCCCCCCCCCCTCCCCCCCGCCCCCCCGGCAACAGCGCGTCTCCATCCGCACCCTGCACGGGCACAACAACTATGTGTTCTGCGTGAACTTCAACCCGGCCTCCACCCTCCTGGCCACCGGGTCCTTCGACGAGACGATCCGCATCTGGGAGGTCCGCACCGGCAAGTGCCTGCGCGTGCTGGACGCCCACTCGGACCCGGTGACGGCGGTGCACTTCAATCGCGATGGCACCCTGGTGGTCAGCTCCAGCTACGACGGGCTGATCCGCATCTGGGACACGGCCACCGGGCAGACGCTCAAGACCCTGGTGGATGATGACTCGCCGCCGGTGTGCGTGTGCCCTCTCCCCTTCGCCCGGCTGCCCGGCGTGTGGGCGCCCTTTTTCCCTGCTCCCCTTGGCGTGCTCTCCTCGCTGACTGACCTCCGGCTCTCGGGCCCTGGCCGCCTGGCTAACATGCTCCCACGCCCGCCCCGCTGCCGGGCCATTGCCACAGCTCCTACGTCAAGTTCTCCCCCAACGGCAAGTACATCCTGGCCGCCACGCTGGACCACACCCTGCGCCTGTGGAACTACTACACCTCGCGGTGTCTGAAAACCTACACCAGCCATCAGAATGACCGGTACTGCGTGTTTGCCTCCTTCTCCGTGACCGGCGGCAAGTGGATTGTCTCCGGCAGCGAGGACCACTGCGTGTACATCTGGAACCTCCAAACCAAGGAGGTGGTCCAAGTGCTGAAGGGCCACACGGGTACGTCTGCTGTCCGCTCCTCCCTTCTTTCGGGCGCGGGTCGGGCGCGGGTCGGGGGTGGGGTGGGGGGGGGGGATGCCCGGCCACCCTGCCGGCCAGGAGTCCATCTCGCTGGTCGGGCTTCCCCTTGCGCTGTATGCCCCCTCGTCGTCTTTTCTCCCACTCACATGGTGTTCCGCCTCGCCTCGCGCCCTGGGCGCCCCTCGCGCACATGCCCACGCGCAGATGTCGTCCTGACGGTGGCGTGCCATCCGAACGAGAACATCATCGCCTCCGGGTCGATTGACAGCGACAAGACCATCCGGCTATGGCGCTCGGACTATTGAGGAGAAGCCAAAAAAAAAAAAAGGAGCCGGCAGAGCGGGGGCGCGCGGTGCCATGCAGAAAGCCGCCGGCCCTCTTGCTGCGGCATCCTGGCTCTCTCGCTCTCCCCATGTTTGGCCCTCCGGCGCCATGTCCATTCTCCTCCTCCTCCTCCTCCTCTCCCTTCCCTTTGTATCGCACACACCCGAGGCGGCGCGGCGGCCAGTAGTTTGCTCGCGCCCGGCAAAATCGGCGCAGGCGGTGGAATGGGGCACAACAAAAATCTGTACACTATGAGACGTCACACCGCGCGCGCGCGCGCGCGCGCGCACGCGCGGAGAGAGGGGCCGGGGAGGGGCCATTTCGATCGTGCATGCACGTCCTCCTCTCGCCTCCCTTGCATCTGTCCCTCCCTCTGCCCGGTGTGTCATCGCGCCCTTGGAAATACAACCTCTGAACCACACGCCCTCGAGAGCGAGAGAGAGAGAGAGAGAGAGAGAGAGAGAGAGAGAGAGACAGAGAAGGGAGAAGAGTCTGATGGCCGGGGGAGGGGCGCAACTCCAGCGCGGGATTTCCCCCCACCCTCGGGGCCGGGGGACGGCGGCCTCCCGCGCGCCCGTGCACCCGCAAACATCCCCGGGGTCATTAGCTGGCCGTGTGATTGGAGAGCCGTCACGTGTGGCTGCCCGTGATCCGCACGGCGATCGGTGCCCCGTTCAGACTCGAGCCGCCGCGGCTCCCCCCCCCCCCCCCGACAAAGCCATGGGCCGGCGGGCCAGGGTTGCGTGGTGCCCGGCTGCCTGGCTGGGGCGCAGGGGAGGAGGGGGGGCAAGGGTGGGGTCGTTCCTGGGGAGGGCTGCGGCCGGAGCAGGGGGGGTATCTCCGGGAGATAAAAAAAGCCGAGTGTTGTTGTGTACGGGGGAGGAGCGGCGGGGCGGGGGCGGCGCGCGCACGCGCGCACCAACACGGTGGGAGAGATATTCCGGCTGCCGCGCTGTCCGCGGCCGGATCTTGGCGTGGCTGACGCGCGAGAACCCCGCTACAGGCACACGCGCCGCATGCGCCCCTCCCCGCCGGCCTGCCAGCGCCATGGCGTGTGGGCAGGCCATATTGCTGCCAAGGTGCCCGGGCCGCACCTTCTTCTCTTTTTTTTTTCGGCCAGGCTCGTGTACTGGCACTATGCGCATGCATTGTGTGTATGTACGTGGTGTACTTGGTGCCGCGTATTGTTGGGCTTCCCGCGTACGGGGGGCGCCGGCTGACGGGGTGCGCCAGCGGCGGCCCCGGGCAGAGGAACCCGCCCGCGAGCGCGCGCACGCTCACAGGTCTGCCGGGGCTCTCGGGCGGATTGGGACGCGCGCGCGCCCACACCCGGGTCGGGTACATCGAACCCCTGTGACACACGGCTGGCGCGGGGCTGTACCCCTGGCGGTATGCGCCGCCCCCCTCCCCCCGTGGCTATTAATGATGCCCGCGGCTCTCGGGGGAAGCGGCCGCGCGCGCGCGCGCGGCCGGCTGCTGCCCGGGGGAGGCCGGAGGCCGGCGGCCCAGCCGCGACCTTCTGGGGCACCTGGGCCTGCCGGCCACGCAAAGCGCGCGCGCGCGCGCACGCGGAATGGGGCGGGGGGGAGAGCGCATAGTGGCAATGCGTGCACTTTGCATGTACGAGGCCGCGGGGATTTGGCCGCCGGCCCGGGTGCGCTGCCAGCCCCCGGCCTCGCGGCTGTGCGTGTTAGCCGCAAACTCTGACTCATCCAGGACCGCCGCCCGGCAACAGGGCGCAAGCGGAGAGCGAGGTGAACGCCGCCGTGGGTGGGAGCGCGGGACAGCCCGCTGGGCAGGCCGGGAGGGGGGGGGGGCCGGCCGGCCGGGCGCGTCGATGTGCGCTCGCCCGTGGGGACAGGGGGCAGAGACCCCGGCGCGGGGAGGGGGCGCCGGGCGCCGCGGGGAAATAACCGCCCCCCCCCCCCCTCGGGCGTGGGGGATGCCCCTCGCCCGGCAGATGCAATAACAATAGCACGCCCGTCCCCGACGGGCTGACACACGCGCACGCCTCCGCGAGGGGCGCGGGCCCCGGTAAATGCGCCGCCGCGCTGGCAACGGCGGTGGCAGGCCAGGGGCGGGGGTCATGAACTAATGGCGCGCCCGGGGGAGACACCTTCCCGGAAATGACCCACGAGGCCGCGTGAGGCGCGTCGCCTCCCCCGCCCCCGCCCCCCCCCCCCGCGCGCGCACGCGCAGCAGGGGCGCTGGCACACCCGAGGGCGCCCCGGCGTCGCCCTGTCTTCGGCGTGTTCCTGCGCCGGCCCGGTGATGCGCGACGACGCCTGGCCGGACGACGGCACCGCGGGCGGGAAAGAAAACAACGGCCGCCGATCGCCCTCCGACGCCCCGCCCCCC